GTCTGTGGGTGGAGAGTGTCTGTGCCTGTCCTTAAATCATGCATCTCAAAGCCAATCTTCCCGTGGAAAGCACATCTTTGTTTGGATTGTCCGCTCGCATGTCCTGTCAGTCCTTTCACCATCTGTTATCGGGACATAGTGCGCATCTGTGGAGCCCGTCGAGGGTGGACTTGTTGGGGATATGTTCTCCATGTTTCGCAGGCAGAGCCAGACTGCGTGCACGGCGGGCGGCGGGGGTGCTGTCTTCATGTTGTTTGGGGAGCATCTTGAGAGGGCCAGGAAGATAAAGTCGAGGTCCAGCTTCGGAGCCACGCCCGTGCCCGGCGTGGTTCTGACGCTGCACATCGGCGTGGGTTTTGGCCCGCTGACACTTTTGCAGCTGGGCCCGGCGCCATGCTGCTCTGCGTTTTGGGAGCTTTGGGTGCCACATGGTGCCACATTGGCAAACAGTGCAGTTTGGCTGATGATGAGACCACCGTTGAGGTGGAGTCCTGGATCGCTGGGAGTTTTGTGCAGCTGGGCAACCACTGGAGGAGGCTGTCAACGGAGCAGAGGTTCTGTTCAAGTTTGTAGAAGCACGTTCTCCCAATCTGTCGAAGCTGATCCTTGTGGCCTTGCGCGGAGGTGGCCATCGCAGAACCGCTGGCTCATTCTGGTGAGACAGTTGTCAGCCCGAGTGTTCAGGAGGTCTTGGCTTCGAAAGGAGCCTTGGAACACCACATATGGTTTATGTTGGCTCGAACCGAACCTCAAGATTCAGACTTAAACTCGGAACCCTATCTGCATCCACCTACGCTCCCCAGCCCCAAGCACTTCCGAGGACAGAACAGCGAGTTCTGCTTCGAGGCTTTTTCATCGGCTACTTGTAGGTCTTAATTTGAGAAGTTCCGTTCTGCAGGTAAGAGCAAGCACTTCCTTTTGCGGCTAAGTGGCTTGGTGATCTGTGGTCACCAGGCCGGCTTTCCGGAGCAGCCCGGCTACGCCCTCCTCACCTCCACCGCTGCTCCGCTCGGGAGTGGAAAGGCAGGTTCAAGCGATGTGCCAAGCGATGGATTGAGGGTACAGAAAGGTTTGCTCACAGATGCTAGATGACAACATCTGGAAAACTATTTGCGGGAGAGGCTTGAATTTAACGGTTGGGAGCTTGCCCAATGCAGTTCCAAGGAAGTGTCCGCCGCAGCTGCTTTTGCCTTTGCTGTGTCCCTCGTCCTTGCCTCTGTAATCTGGTTTCATTGCGAATTCGAGCACAGGGAGTGGGCACTACGGGCCCTGTCAGCTGCAGACTGCAAGAGCATCTACAATAAAGCAAGAGCATCAGGCATGCGAGGGGTGCAACATGCTGCAATATGGCGGCGACCACTGCACATGCAGAGACATGCTTCCATACATCTTCATACCTACACAGCAGACAGCTACTGAAAGATGGACAGGATCTGCCAGCATTTCCCCACAGGAGCACCCACGCTCGCCAGCGCGGCGCACGCTGGATGCCAGTGTGGTCCAACGTTACGTGCCGCAGGCAGCCAAGAGGCTTGGATCGACGGTGCACTCATCTTCATTTTTTTGGCCATGATGCAGCTAGGTTTCCGTGCTCCCTGCGAGCATATCCAATAGGTGGTAAATGTGGCAGCACATGACAACAGGAGCAGAGCCGAAGTAGCAACTTCAGGCTGTGGACCCTGAAAAGGACCTGCCCAGACTCCACCACAGCTGAGTCAGGGTTCCAGGATGTTTTAGTCATATCCCACATTCTGTGGGCCTCGTATCCTATCGCCAGGAACTTGTCCCAAACATCGGTAGAGGCATTGATCCTGGGTCCGGGCCTCAACTTCTGAAATGTCAAGACAGACACGTATTCTTGCAAACACACCCACCCGCCCGCCCGCTCACTTCCCCCCCTCCACTCCCTTCAAACGACATGAACCCAATGTACCTACGAATGTTCACGATGCTTGTATGACTGCTATGATGCCGAATGGCATTGGCTNNGTGTGTGTGTGTGTGTTACTCGGGCAATCATGGTTGCTTTAGATTGCTAGGATATGCTAGGATTGTATAGTGCAGTTTTGCATGGTAGCGGAGTTACGGCTCTGGAGACACAGGGACGAGTGAAAAAGAATGGATTTCGGAGTGAGAGGAATCGGTGGTGAGATCAAAATCCTTGCACCCCCAGTGTACCACGCTGAACGGGAGAAGTGGGAAGATTGGTCATGGCAGTTGAAGCGATGTTTCGGACTGCACAAGTCGATCTCCACGCTGATGACGGATGACGTGGAAGGATCGAATGTGGTGATCACTGACGACCTGTGTGAAGCATTTGATGCGCAACAGGCCACGTCCGGAATAACGTCATTGTTCTCGAAGCAGCTGGCATACATGTTGGCGCACATCACTGATGGCCCCGCCAGGGCGATTGTTCGAAATGAGGACACACAGAATGTTTTTGAGAGTTGGCAAAGTGTTGTGATTGGCACTGATCAGAAGTCGCTAAGGTGAAGCACCTGTTGCGGTATCTGATTGGTACCAAAATGTGTGTCTTAAGACTGCGTCCATCTTATCACTTATCAGTTGTCTGATTGCAATTGTGCTCTGGATGTGAATGTCTTTGTGGATTCATTCTGACTGGGCTAGATGCTCAAAGACTGGGAAGAGCACCAGTGTGAATGTTCTCGGGTGCCACATGATGAGCACTGCGAGAACTCAAAGCACACTGACCTTGTCGTCTGGAAAAAAGGAGCTGTATGCGATTTGAAGCCAAGCTGGCGAAGAAAGTCAGTGTCATTGCCCACGCGGACTTCTCTGCGACTGCCATCGCCCGGTCGCCAATGCACTGCAGCCTGGCGCAGAGATTGTTTTCTGCAGTGCCGCAAGTTTTGCAATGTGAAGTCTTTGTTGAAATGTTGACGGAAATTTTCTGTGGATTGCAGAGACTGAATTTTCAGATCCAATGATGTATGGATCAATGTCCGGCTGCCTCCGAATGCTTTGTACAGTGCAGCAGGCCTCCCCTTTCTGCAATGACTCGAATGTCGACCGTCTTGAGCCAGAAAGTCTGGAATGAGTCCAGTGGAGCCTGAGGTAGCAGACTGTTCCTGTTTTGAATGTTTCTTGATCGTTTCGCGAATGCTGCCGTGTAATGGTGATTGTCTGAATGTTTTTTGGACTGAAGCCAGGATCAAGGGACTGTGTTAAATGACATGAGCCCAATGTACCTACGAGTGTGTTTGATGTGTTTATGAACGCTATGATGCGGAATGGCATTGGCTCAAGAATGGACAAAGACTGGCTTGGTCGCACAAAGGAATGTCTGCGTGAGTGCGTGTTCCTGGGCAAAGTGATTGATCTTGGTTGCTCTAGACTGCTAGGATTGGAATTGTGCACCCTCCCTTCCTTCCCCCTCGCCTCCCTCCCCCTGTGGGCATGTTCTGGCACCACTGGATGCTGTACACAGAGTGGGTGTGAGGTGAGGCAACCTCAGAATATTATGTTGCGCACGACGGTCTTGTCTCTTCGTAGTTTGACCTTAGAAAAATACCGCAGGATGCGTAGATCTCATGAAGGTCGTTGCATCCCGCAGATATGCACCAAATCTGGGATTGCAGTCACAGCGTCAGCAACGCAAGTAGCGTGACTGGTCGATGTTCCTCGAATGGCATCCCGGATCTTTAAGTCCTTCAGGCCTGCAGCCCGAGATGCGCCGCGTCTCTGTCATCTTCCTTTCCATCCGAGGTGTCTCTGTGCCAACATAGCAGGAGCGGAAAGTCGTATGAGTCTTGGGTTTTCAGACTTTGCGCGGCGGGGGTTCGTTAAGCCCGGAAGCATTTCAACACCGGTGTAGCTGTGTCACCTCCATGCCGATCATTTGAGAACCGTTAGCCGACGACGCTCCTGCTTTCACTCGATGCAGGGCTCAACCCTGGATCGCTGACACCCACGGGAGATGATCTGCGTACACAACAGGCACTCTCGTCCAATCTGTGCAGAGTTGATTCAGTTGTGACCCAGCAAAGCCTCGTTTGCAAAAGCCTGAGTCCGGGACCAGCAGCCGCACTTCGGAGACATGACACTGCGAGTTCCAGGGTTCGGTATTGTGTGAATTGATTGCCTTGCTGTTTTTTTGAGCGCATGCGTTTTGCCAAGTGTCTCCGTCTCGAAACCTCAAGCCCGAAGCGCTAGGCCTGCTAGGCCGCGAGGCCCTCCAGGCGGCGATGTACGCGAAACCTCTCAGAGCGAAGTTTCTGCATTCGATGGATTTCTCAGGTCGTGAAGCTCTTGCAGCAGTCCTGCTATGCCTTCGAAGGCTGGTCGCCGACGGTGTGTAGCAGTGCAGTCGCAGAAGATTTTGCCGTTTTCAATTTTCAACGGCTCCTCGGCAATGTCAACACATCGTACCGTGTGACTTGCCCTAGGGGTAAGGGTGCATCATGAAGGTGTGCAGCACGACCTAAGCAGAGACTGGGCAGAGTGGTCGGTGTGGCTGGCAGGCTGCACAACATACGTACTGACTGCAATGCAATGGTATGCCGTGATATGCCGTGCAACAGTCTCGTACCCCTGACGGAGGTAGCGTCAACAAATTCCTTGTGGATGACAAAGGCCTGTGAAGCTTCACCACTAACATGCCTCCTCTGTGTACCTTCCATGTGCTGAGAAAGTTTAACTTTCAGGAGTTGTAGCACGGCTGTAAATGGCTGTGAGGTGTCAGAGCATCGCCAGGCGACACATTTGTGACTGTGTCAAGTAAGTAAAAGTAAGCGTGTGTGTGTGTGTGTGTGCGTGTTGGGGTTGGGGTTGGGGTGGGGGTGGGTGTACGTGGGTGCCCGTGCGTGTGTGTCCGTGTCTTCCTCCCTGAATGCCTCTCGCCTCGTTCTTGCTCTACAGGCATGCTGCTTCTTTGCGCCTTCGGACTTCCGCCGTTGAGACTGGTCATGACTGATCTGATGGGATTATGATGGCCTACTCGTTCGTGCACTCGTACATGATACATCGGGCAGTCTCTTATGGGATCCGTCGCACTGCTCTAATAAACACAATGTCAGCAAGATGGCTCAGGAATCACTACATCGACGATCCGCTCCTGGAAAGCATCCCATGAATCATTCGGAATGCTTACTGTTTCGGTTGCGCCTTTCTAGCGAGGTATGTGTCGATATAGTTGAATATCTTCGCAATTCTTCGCAGGCACTGGGGCTTACCTACTTGATCATGTTGTCTACACTTGGAAGCGTTCGAGTTCCTGCCTCACATCGAAATACGCACTTATTTGGTTCGCATCGTTGCACCGCCGTGGACTGGCCAATGCAGGGAGGAACGCACGCACTGCTTCCTGCACAATCCTGATGCCAAATGTATCTTTGGGCATAGCACTTGCCTTTCACATCCGTTTCCCAACTTGAGCTATGCGAGAAAGAAATAGTTGTAGTGTTTCAGCACACTTTGGTGGATCTGAGCTTCCCTCAGAAACCGTTTGCAAACGTACCAAGTGCTTATGCCTTATGCCTTGACCGAGTATCCCGAGTTTTCCGAAAGTCCACCAACTCCTCGGATGTAATCCCTTGACAATCCAGGCCAACCTCCCAGAGTATGCCCATACCAGTACCTACCACGACCTCCCCCGCAGGCCAAAAGACATGACTCACTGGCGATGTGACACTTATTGCAGGGCTGCAGTGCCTTGCACTGTCGTCTTGTAGCCGGCCACCGCTGTCCAAGGCTGCGAGCCGTCCTCACCGCCGCACGCTTTTGTGACTCTTTGGCTGAGGCAGGCTTCGTGCGTTCTTGCGGAGTGAAAACCTGGCAGCCGTGCGTGCGATTTGAAGGGTTTTCAGTTTCAACCTCGGGCTGAAACCCTTTCCAGACTCGACACCTGCGTTACGTGGATTGTCGTGATCCGATGTTATCTGCTATGCGAGTTAGCCGTCCAAAACACTAGACTTCCCAAGCCGCAGGAAGGACTGCAGGGTCGGGCAGGAGTCGCCACGGGCATCGTATGGTGTGGCTGCCTGGCATGATGCACAGGAAGCATTGGCTTCGGGAGTTTAGCCTCTCTTTGCACAGGCCGTGCCCGGCCAATTATGGATTTTGCAATGAAGGACGTCGTTGGAGGATCGTGTTGTTCAAACCACAGTCTGATTGTGCGGCTGCTGCTCTAAACGTTCAGCCGCAGACATCAGAAACTCATGGCTTGCAAGTTGGCCATCGGCCATCGAAGTTTGACGTAGTGGGCCGAGGTCCAGCCAGAATGCAATGTAATGCAATCCTGCCCATCTTGACTGCCCCCTCAACTCCGACGGGTCACAACGAAGCGATGCCAAGGCACTGTTGGCAGCCAGATCCGCCGGGAGTATACTGTATTGGGCGACACTGTCAACCTGCCCCTCAAACTGAAACCAATCGGATTTCGTTGGATGCGGTTCAAGAGGTTGACAACGGACAGATGTCTCAGCAGGTTTCTATCTTAGAGCGTCACGATGTAAGTTCAGCATGCGTTGAAAGACAAGACAGGGCTTCGAAGCCTCGAAATCAAGCGCAGCTCGCAGGACTGCGTTGCATTCCCGAGTGGCCTTGGCCTAGTTCTGCTGGAAAAGTTGGGTCTCCTCGATGTCGTCGTTTCTGTAAAGCGTCGGGTAGCCGATCACTTCTACCTTTTGTTGTGAGGTCTGCTCGCTTGATGGCGAAGACGGATATCAACACTGTCCTCGTTGATGCCGCGACCTGGTTGCATCCATCTACTGAGTGACACTGGGCGAATCCCATCCGTGGAATAGCCGGCAGTCTGACAGAACCCGACTGCTGTCCGCAAGTCTTAAGACCTGTGGAATTCTGGACACAGCCGCGAAATCCGGGTCCGGCGATTGCTGCCATGGTGACCATGAAGTAAACAGGTCGACCAGCAGTCTGAAGTTCTGAGGCCCTGCGTCGTCGTTTGTCGAAGTGCATTTTCCAAAGAAGCCAGGCAACATTCAGCTCCTGCAAGCAGCTTGCCTTCATTGATCTTCATTGTTTCACATCTTTGCAGAGAAGGAGCTAACAGCCGTGGCCAGCCAGATCAAGTAGCGCATCTTCCTGCCTGGGACTGCAACGTTGTTGTGAGCCATGCGTTTGTGTGCTGAGGCTGTTTGAGGCTGTTGCTACACCGAAGGGACCCGAGATTGCCAAATTTGGTTGGTATTGTGAATATTCGCTTTGTCGACCTCAAGAAACCCTGCGCCGATTTTGCTGGTAGATCCATACAGCAGCCATGTACAGCCCCGGTTTTAGACTGGCAGCAGATCCCCTAACAGATGTCACCTTGTGGGTGGGGCATAGCAACGCTCCGAACGCCGACGGTCCTCCGGAGGCTCAGTTGAATGCTCACTAGAATCAGATACGTGCCCGACATTGTCCGACACTTGGAATCAAGCCGGAACTGGGAGATTTCAGTGATGATAGAAACCCGTGAAACGCGACGGGGCTAGAAAGTCAGCTCGAAGATATCCAAGGCGGACGCTGGCCTTCGAGTCGCTGGGAGAAATCTCAGTGAAAGGCACGATGAGAGCGGTTCTGAAAGACTTGGATGGTTCTGGCACAAACAAGCCATTTGCTTTAAGATTTTCCGTGGAAGAAGCAACAGTCCACACCTGACGATGCCTATGTATGACAGGCAAGCAGGAACAGATCCAGGTGTACCGCTTCACAGGAGCCGATGTGGTCTGCACTCTGTGAGTCGCTGCATGTGCTGCTCAGTGCTCAGCTCAAACCGACAATATGACACCGGGTACATGTGCTTGGTCTTGTGTCAATGTGTGCATGTTTGAGCGCGTAAGATCATGTGGGTTTGAGTCTTCCTTCCCTCACTCAAACTCTGGCCGGGAAAGGAGATCTTCTACCTCGCAGAGACCGTGATCGCAAAGGCTTGATCTCGTGGGAGCGACACCTTCCTTGGGTCAAGCCCAGTCGTGGCTCAATCCATGCCGTAAGCATGGAGGACTGATGTGCAGGCTTGACATTTTGGTGCACTGGGCCCTAGTCGAATCTCGAATTGCTGGTCTCGTTCAAACCAGGATAGACGAAAGCCATGGATAAACAACGGCCCGACACATCTGGAGGTCTGCAGCGGTCGCTTCTGTCTTGGGAAGAATGGCCCGCTCGAGAGGAGCTGCAACAACATTCCGAGGCTTCTGTCTATTTTGGCGACACTATGGTGATTTGTATCTGGATGTCTGCAAAGAATACGTGTGATAGTGAGCCGAGATTTTCTACGTTGACTGTTTTGACTTTTCACAGGATGCAAGGCAGTTTGAAAGGGTCCTGTGGCAATGCAGCAAACTTCAAGCCATGAATGCTGTGGGCCTGGAGACTTCGACTCAGGGTCATGCTGTTCAAACGAAGCCACGAACTGTCGCCAGTAAATGCTCAAAGATGGGGAGGAGCTGATGGCTGCCTTGGAAGCACAGTTGCAGCAACAACCAGGCAATGGGGCACCATTTGTGCAGTGGTCTGGGCCGCACTCTGGACTCGAGCAGAATTCGCAGGTTGAGATTGATCCGTGGAGTGGAGTGACATTCTGTCAATATGTACCGTGCTGGAACCCAATTCAAGAGCAGAAGCATGTGATGCGACCCCCTATGATTTGTCGGAGACATGCTTGCTGCTGTGCGGTTTGGGAACAGGACACGAAATCAGGGGTAAGAGTGGCCCATGTGACGCACTGCAGCGTGTCGGAGGACTCGAACTCAAGTTCAAAAGGATTGCCGGCTCATCAGGGCTGCCTAAACTCTATACTGCCTGGTCTGGTGTCTCTGCCCACAACTTCACAACCATTGTCCAAAGCGTATATGCAACAAAATAATACGCAATACACTCCGCCATTTCTCTTCTACATACTCTCGGCTCCTGGATCCCCCCCTCCCNNCCCCCCCCCCCCCCCGATTCTGGTGACAGTCGTCGGAAATCGTCACTGCGAACCGGAAGAAACCCACGCCAACAACAGGGAGGGCGGACGACGGAGGCGACGGGTGTCACTGCAACCATCCGCCACTCGACAGCCAGTGCCTCTGCACAGAGAGGAGACAGAACCGCATCAGGGCAGGGACAAGAGCAACCAGTTGCCGTAGCAAAGGGCAGCAACAAATCCTTTAATAGTATCGTAGCGAGCACCATAACGATGACGCTACTACTAACAAACGGGTGCGACTATACCTGTGAGAACACACTGCCCCCCTACCCTGGTCTGCAACGCACAGCAGAATGGAGGAGAGGAGGCCAAGAAGTCGAGAGATCAACAACCCAAGCAAGACCTCAGGCACCACGCCAAGTCAGGGCACCGAGAAGACCACAGGCCAGGCCACACCCCACAGGGGGGGGGGGGTCGGGGCCGAACAAGAAGGCCCACTTCGCAGGCAAGGGGTGGGTCCCTTGTGGGGGGGGGGAGGGGGGCAGCAGCCCTGCATCATGTATCTGAGATCCTCCAAACCTGTCAAAAGCCACTGCCTGCCTGCGAAGGCCCCGGTGGCCTCGTGTTCGTCCATGGAGGTCCAGGCTGCGGCAAGACGGACGCTCCCCTCATCAATAATCAGTTCCTCTGGTGCTTTTAGGGGTGTCAGCTGCAGTTCCCATAGGTTGAGCAGCCTGCCTCGATAGAACCTTATTGAATGCTTTCGTGGTTGAGCTTCCTGCCGTACCTACCAATTTTGACATGTATGTCGTCCAGGTTTAGCACCGAGTCAAAGCGGGAGTTCTGCACACTCAAGCCTCGGCGCCACTACGAATACATACATATATGGTGTACAAATATATATATATATATATATGGTACCCCCCCCCCCAAAGATCTACCCGATTCTGTCTGTTTGGAGCTCTTCGTGTGCAATCC